GCCAAGCGAACCCCAAAACATATAAACTTCATCTTTATATATTTTTCATATTCATATGGATTTTCTGACCCAACGCAAATGAAACCCAAAACATATAGACATTATCTAAACATACTTTTGATACTAAAATGAATTTCCTAGCCCAACGCAATCTAAAGAAAGCTGACAACACATATACTTTATCTTCATATACGTCTGATAGTAAAACGAACTTCCTGTCCCAACTCAATCCAACACAACCCGAAAATATATACAGTTTAACTTTATATACTGTTCATATTAATCTCAATTTCTTCATCCAGCCCAATGCTATAACATAAAGACTTTATGTCTATATACTTTTCATGGTAAAATGAACCGAATTGAAAAAAGTGGCATCGATCGTATCTTGGCTAAATTTCCCGAAATATAGTAAAATTGTATATGCAATCAGCATTTGATGAGATACAGAAACGTCGAAGAAATAGGACAGATCGGTGACGATCTTAGGTCGAGTGAGCCAAATTCTCTCTTTGGCTGATTGTCTTGTTAATTGTCTAAAAACAAATTCAAATGGACTAAAGAGTAACATGCATTGTATTCAAAAACCTTCAATCTATCGTCATGTTATTCCTATTTTCAAAAATCGACGATGATTATTTCACATAAACTGACAAGCTAGTCTCTTAATAGAGGTGAATATATCACTGGATTGGGTTAGCTCAGACCACAAAATGTCGGCTCCTCCATTGCTATGCATAATCGAAAACATATCAGAAGTAATATCTCGATTTTCCCAGAAACCAATTTTGAGCGATATTGTTCAGTTGGACCAAAACTGCTCTTTCCAGATTCTGTCGGAACTGGCAATTTTGACAACTCATCATACGTCAGAGTTTACTGCATTCTGGCAGTTCATGATCATCAAATTCAACTGTTGAAATCTCAAGATAAAGAATGCAATAGATATTATCGAATCTGATTAAACCTTATGATTCCTTCTATGCGATCTGATAATTGGCTTGTTAGTCTATGACACTCGAAAGTGAATGTAATTAAAGAATCTGCATGATGAGAACACATAGCTTTTGTGAGAATAAAAATCTATCGAAAAGTTCAAATGATTTTTTGTATATTATTTTTCTCATTGGGGAGAAAACTGAAAAGGATCTTGATGATTTTGGTTTTGCTTAGTACAGCAACTATAATTATCAACTAAATACTAAAACTCCAAAATATACCAAGGCTTCTTCGGCAGCTCTTATGTTGATAATTGATAAACTCATATAAGTGTCCTTTTCTTCTTTGTGTAATAGTATCAATTACAACAACAGCAACAACAACGTTGGCCACAACCACGATCACAACAACATCGGCCACAACGACTATCACAACAACGTTGACCACAACCACGATCACCAAAATGGCAAATCTTTCATGTAAGCTTTTTCTAATTTGATATCAAACACTAACAAAAATTAGAGAATCGTCTAGTTGCATCGAGCTGATTGGTGACTTCAGATCAATTTACAATCTAGATCAGATAAAGATCTGCGTAGGTTGGGCTCTTTCTTGTATTTACGAACACTCTGAAAGGCAAAACAATTGATGATGCCCACAAATGTAGGATCCAAGGGAGAAAAAGTGAAAATTCTATATTTCATTAGTACTTCATAGAAATGTAACGATATGCCAAAGTTATCCTATAGGTCATTTTAGCTAGTTCAAGTGTGCTGTCGATGTGTGTTAAGAGCATATAAGTTTGTCTAGCAACATACATCAAATACTTCACCATACTTCACTGATGCTCAAATTCTAAACTACGATGTAGTATTTGGGCCTTCATGCCAGATAAATTTCAATAAAATGAACTCAAGATAATTAATGTTCTCATGATACACGTTGATAGCAAACTTGAAATAGCTAAAAAGTTCTAGAGAATACATTTGTATATACTCCTGGAGTACGGCGAAGCACGGATGAAGAAGTACGGAATTTTCACTTTTTCTCTCTGAATTAATAACACGAAAATTAATACATTAGAAATTCGTATTTTCAATCTGATATTCAAATTTTCCGATAGAAACCGATATTGGAATTTCTTGCTCTCTGTGCCCAGACGCTTTCTCGAGAACTTTTGTTTCAAAACTTTTCCACTGGGATGCCTTGTTATTTGGAAATTTGTGCAAAAGAATATTCAAAATACTTCCTTTGTTGTTTCGGAGTTACCATGGAAAATTAGTTTTGTCAACGTTATAACTCCAACGTCGAGTGATAAAAAATCTCCAAGTTTTCATATATGTTGAGCAGACAAACATTTATTTATTCACTAAAAATGAGGAAAGATATGAAGGATGATTAATCCCTTCCATTAAGGAGTTCCTACCACACAATTGCTATGATCAACACTGTACTATCGGATGGATCGTGTCTTTTTCTACAAGAATCTATTTATTTTATCAAAGTTGAATTCTTTTAATGTTCTAACTGTTTACAAAAAAATAAACATTAAAATATAAAAGTTGCTGTGTTCCGAAAAAATACCATTAGAACTCCATTCAATTGCAAACATATTGGAAGCATGTATATTTACAATGCTTGTCTCTTGAAATAAGATATGTCGCGTATTTTTCTTACGTAGAATGACAAAGTTAAGCTGCCAACAAAAATCAGGTTCGAACATCAGTCCCATTGCTTTTGATTTTGCTAGTGTCTTTTTTTCAAAAAGCGCGATGTTTTAACAAAGATGGATCTAGTCCAACTAATTCCGTCAGATTTTGATTCAAGCGATCTCATTCGATAGAGAAATGAAAAAGGAAGAAATTGTAGTACCAGTTCAGAAGTTTATTGCTTTAAAGTCGAGATATGATTCTTTTTAATATCTTAAGTATGATGGATTTTGAACCGATCAATGTTTTACTTTTATGATAATCTGCGCCACTGTTTTGACTCGGAATTTTTTAATAGCATATCATTGGAAAGATCATACGTTTTTCTACACACTGAACTAATTTTCATTCCAACATCCTTTTGAAAAATTGACAATTAGGGATAGTTTTCAGAAGATACTAGGAATACTGCATAAAATGACATAGATTTCATTTTAGTTTTCGATTGATTCTTGATCTTCAACAATGTCATCTGAAAGAGTGAGGAAACTATATCAAAAACAATATCTTCTTTTTTTTTAACTATTTTATTGTGGGAAGTAAAGCTACCATTTTCTTATAGACTTGATTAACTTGTGGCAATTTTCTACCAGGTTTATTGTATTCTCTTCATTTCATAAGTCAAGTTATTTCTGAAATTTTTTCGAATGCTACAAAATTGTAGAGAAGGCTTTTCTGTATAAACTAGTTATGTTTCAAATTGAGATCATGTTTGCTCTCCTGAATATGACATCTTTAAAAAAAGTCAGAAACAAAAGTTAGGTGCCACTAACATGAAGAGAGTACAGCCAATTTCTCAGAAAAGTAGCTATTCCATAAACGACTATATGAAATTTTATGTGACATTTCTTGATGTTGCAAAAAGGATAACATGTGAAGAGATTGGAAGAATATTTCGAAAAATACGAATCTAGTACGTTTTTCTTGGTGTCATCCAACTTTCGTATTTGACTCATTCATAAAATAACGATTACATGTTCAGGAGAACAAACATGATCTCGATTTGATACATAACTAGTGTATACAGAAAAGTCTTCTCTAGAAATTTGTAGTATTCGAAGGTGTGGGTGTGTGGTTGGGTGTGGCTGTAGAAAAGATCGATACCGACACCGACACCCTCATCCACACCCACAACTACACTCATATTCTAAAAACAAAAACAAATGTGTTAAAATTTCGTTAAAACGAACACATTATCATCCGTTTGAAAGAAATATCTTACGAGTTTTATTGCTTTGAAAGACAGCAAAAACGCATTTATGCCTAGAGAGCGACTAAGAGGACCTATTTTCGTGCATATTTTCGTTTGAATGTGTTACTTACAACATTAAAACATAATTCGTTGTTTTGCGTCAGTTTTTTTTTCAAATTAAATCAGAGCATTTTTCATGGATTTGCCTTTTGATATTCGTTAAAATGTAGCATCTTTAGTTCAATTAATTATTTATGCTTCTTTGAGAAAACAGAACAGACGTGAAAATTCATATTGATAGATCCTTCTGATTTTTTTTAGTAGAATAACAAGTCATTCTGTAGACAATCATAAAAAAAAGTATAGAATATTCTTAAAGTTATGGATTATTTTTCTCAAAGTTTAACAAATTTAATTCTAATCTACTTGTGATCTCACATAGTTATTGTTTTTTCAAGTATATGTAAACCGATTTTTGGCTTTAACAAGCATATACGGTTTCGCACAGAATTTCAAGCACTAGCTTTTTGTTAAAAAAAGATATCTCGATTAGATGTACAGTACGAAAGAACTCTTGAAAATACTAATAGCACAACTATTCCTGGACCACCCGTTATTTCGTAAAAGTCGGAGCTCATTTTGATTTTGTTTTTTTTTTGTTATATTTCCAATACATAAAGTTAAACTCACACATAGACAAACAAGATATATGTTAAAAAGTAATATCTAATAAGTTATTATTGAAAATTTATTGTATTTAACTGACACAACTCATTAAAAGGAGTATCCCATTGGTAAATAAGTTCTGCACGTTTGAATCAGTAGAATTATATTGCTAATATAAAACTACATTTTAAGAAAAGTAATTATATATTCTAATAGCACTCGGAATTCTCAATCATCCTGTGTATTTAAGTCTTGACTTACATTTATTTGCTGAAAAATATTTCGAATACAGTGAAGACACCGTCACCCTCAGATCCCCACGAACTTCATTTTTTGTTCCTTTCTCATATGTTTTTCAAAATTTTTATCTATACAGTAATCCATCTTTTAAAAAAGTAATTATATATTCTAAGAGTCCTTAATATGTTCTATCACTTTGTATATTCAGGTCTTGGCTTGAACTTATTTACCGAGAAATATTTCGAACATTGCCAATGCAGGTGATGGTATCTTCACTGTACTCGAAATATTTTTCAGTAAATAAATGTAAGTCAAGACTTAAATACACAGGGTGATAGAGAATTCTGAGCGCTATCAGAATATATAATTGCTTTTCTTAAAATGTAGTTTTATATTAGCAATATAATTCTACTGATCCAAACGTGCAGAACTTATTTATCAATGGAATAACTTATTACAAGAGACATTGCAAAAGCTTTTCTTTTGTCGTCAACCCTTTAGATAAAAAAAAATATTCAAAAGATTAGTTCTGTCTAATGTTGTTGTTGAAAAGTATCATCGTAAATGAGCAACATACTTAAGCATTCAAAATATACAGTATCGATGAATCGATTGTGATGATGTCCATAATGATTTGTTCTAAGATATGTAAGATGTAGGGAGGGAACTGTTTTTATTGTTGACGAATGTCATTTGTAAAAAGTTGATATTTTGGTAGCTTTTTTTTTGAAAGCAGAAAAGAGTCATATAAGATGAGGGTTGTATGACTAAATAATAGATTTAGTCATTCTGCCATATAATGTTCAGTCATAAATATTCGTTGATATTTTAGACTTTTCGTAGATGCACATTGTCATATGAACAAAATGGAGAGTTAAGAAAATCGGTCTGTTATATCACTCTTGAATCTGTTTAGAAGTTTGGGTGCTAAACATCTATTGACAAAGAAAAACTTCCGTATTTCTAAATCATAATGGCATGAACTTGATCAAGTCAGATTTTTTGTGAAAGAAAATTTGACATGATTTGTTTTTGTCTGAACTTACTTGTTTTCCATGTAAGTTTCGACAATTCTGAAATGAGTATTCTTCAACGCTCGGATTTGTTGACTACTACTCTATTATATATTTATGATTATGATCAAGAAAAAAACCTATGACTTATGACTAGTGGAGTGCATGCTATTCATTCTTATATTTAATGAAAAATCATTTTCAATTTAACTCTGAAACAGTATTCAAAAAAATTTCCTCGGCTACATTAGCAACTCAAGGGCAATATGAAAACAAGAGAGAGGGAAAATACATCTTTAACTCTAGTACTATCAATCTGGGCCATTTTTGACCCGTTTTTCAGACCTTCTTCTCAAAAACCGAATTTCATACCAAGTCAAGTGAAATAACCTGATATTTCCAGGATAGATTGTGATTGTAGTGGGGAGACTATGGTAAAATTTTCAAATCTACATCATGATGTTTTAGGGAAATAATAATCAAATAATGGTCAAAAATAGCTCATTCGACAACCCAAATTTCTCGTTTGTTACTTATACAATATATTTAATATTTTTTTTGTTCGAAAGAGCATGTCAAGGTGCAAGACATGACGGAGTTTTTCTTTTAAATTAAGAAGAGCTTGGTCATACTCTGTATCCTGACATGCTCTTTCGAACAAAAAAAATATTAAATATATTATATAAGTAACACAAGGGAAATTTGGGTTGCCAAATGAGCTATTTTTGACCATTATTTGATTATTATTTCCCTAAAACATCATGATATAGACGTGAAAATTTTACCATAGCCTCCCCACTACAACCACAATCTATCCTGAAAATATCAGGTTATTTCACTTGACTTGGTACGAAATTCGCTTTTTGAGAAGAAGGTCTGAAAAACGGGTCAAAAGTGATCCAGACTGGTAGTACTAGGGTTAACAATGAAATTTGATCGTTTGAAGTTAATCAAAAAAAAAACAAATCGATTAGTATACTACCTGAGTGTAATAAATGTCGTCATGATAATGTAAAACACAAGCATGACTTTCCTCATAATAGACTAAAATAAATTTGTTAGTCCCGAAAAATTAAATGTTTTTGAAAATATTGTCATAAGAATGTGAAAGATCCACATACAGAATAGTGCATTATTAGATCCAAAAAAGAAAATCTCAAGATATGATGAAAGAATAAAAGACTTGCGAATTTGAAGTTTTACACAAAATCCTAAAGGACTATATCTGAGCTGTGTCGCAGAGAATAGTTGCTCTAAAATTAAATTGTGACTTTTAGTAGAATCAAATGAAAAAAACACCTGTGGGCGCGCCGTCTGTAATTAAAATATTATAAAAATAATTTTTTTTGTTTTTCCATCCTTCGCTTTCATGAATATTTTTATCTGAAACATGAGAAAAAAGTATGTCTAAATTTAAAACAATATTCAATTCCAGAACAATAAGAAAAAAATAGAACAAAATGACTCAATGATCGTATGATTAATATTTAACATATTCTAGGGTCTCTCGCTAAAAACTAAAATATTTTTCTTCTTGCAAATCAGATTTTCATCAAGACAAAATTGGAAACGAGCCAAAACTTGGAACGATGTTGATTTTGCAAAAATTCAAATGAACTTTTCACTTTTTTCTCTCTATAGTCTCTTTCTCTTTCTCTTCTCTTCTCTTCTCTCTTATTTTATCATTTTATCATCTCCTTTCTCTCTATTTCAGTCCATCCATTACGTGGAAGTTCAATTGACATTCATCCAAATGCTCGATGGCAACAGAATGGTATTACTGTCGCTGGAGGAAATGGACAAGGCAATGGAATCAATCAACTCTTAAATCCAGATGGTATATATGTTGATGATGATCAAACAGTTTATGTCGCTGATCCACCGAATCACCGTATTATGGAATGGAAATGGGGTGCAACAAGTGGCCAAGTGGTTGCAGGTGGAAATGGCGAAGGAAGTGGGACTCATCAATTGGATAGCCCACTTGATGTGATTGTCGACAAAGAGACAGATAGTCTCGTCATCTGCGATAGTTTTAATAAAAGAGTGGTTCGATGGCCTCGTCGAAATGGGACAAGTGGAGAAACAATCATCTCCAACAGCGATTGTTGGGGTTTGACAATGGACGAGAATGGATATCTCTATGTCGTTGTCTTTGGAGAAGGTGAAGTGAGACGATATCAAAGAGGAGAATCCGAAGGAATAGTGGTTGCAGGTGGTAATGGTAATGGAAATGGATATGATCTCAATCAACTCTTTTTTCCACAATACGTATTCGTCGATCGAGATCATTCAGTATATGTGTCTGAACGGCTCAGTCATCGTGTGATAAAATGGATGGAAGGTGCAAAACAAGGCATTGTCGTGGCTGGTGATCAAGGAGTAGGACTTGGTCTTACACAATTGTCATCTCCTCACGGAGTCGTTGTTGATCAATTGGGCACTGTCTATGTGGCTGATCAAGGAAGTGCAAGTATCAAACGTTGGCCCAAAGGAGCCACACAGGGAAATGTCATTGTTGGTGGAAACGGTGGTGGAGAACAATCAAACCAACTCAGTTTCCCCAAAGGTTTGTCATTCGATCGACATGGCAATCTCTATGTCGTCGATTTGGGAAATAATAGAGTACAAAAATTCAATATCGAATCCAACAAGTGAAGGACTAGAAAGTCAAAAATATTTGTTTCTATATCGTAAACCTCCTAACCACTGTATACCGTTAAGCGCCACCGTAATTTTTGGATTCCTTGAAAAATTATAATAAAATAGACCCCACTTATACAAAGTATCTGACCAAAGGGTGTGGGTGTAAATCAATCAGAAAACAGACCGATCTATATCCCTCTGATACAAATCAATCTGCTAGTCTCAACTCTTGCTTTTCGGCAACCGATGATGTCGGAATTGTTTTCAAAGTTGAAAATTTTGTGCTTAATCAAATAATAAATAGAAATGCAGAGTTTGTTTCCGCCGACGCGTTTCGTGTTTATTTTATTTCAATAACAAAACACTCATCAAGGCTCTGCATTACAATGAAAAGCACATACGTAAAGACAAAATAGAAATAGTAAAATTGACAAACACGAGTATAGTGAAAAACTACATTAAAATTATATTGAATTACACATTACATAACAAAGTAAAAGAGAGATAAACAGAAAAATCACTATTGAAATGAA